CTACAATTACTTCATGAAATATCAGATGTTTCAATCAATACCCAAAAACAGATTCCAATTCAAAAGTCTTAAAGGAGACATGTCCTTGTATAGAGGAGGAGAAGCAAGAAATTCACTTCTTTACCAAACAAAACCAACAGAGAATCAACATTATAGTCACTAAGTCTACGTGAACAAGATATACAAAGACATTCTAAGTTAACAGACTTTGACAAGATTGCAGGACATGGAAATACATTTGTGCAGAAGAATATATAAAAATTGGCTCCAAATGTAGCAAATTCATCCAGAATTCCTCATACCAGCATTCAAAAAATGTTTTTAAGATTTTTTTTTTTTTTTTGAAAACAAGCAATGAACTTGAAGTCAATTAAAAGAAGACAAAAAAATTCAATTAGCCAGAGAAAACTAGTTTCAAAATTCAATTGAAATTCCAACCAAAAAGATGATTCAAAAGTAACCCAGAAAGGGAAAAGGAAAAAACCCAAGCAAAATCTTGAAATGAATTCAAGTACACAGTAGGAGAATCTCTACATTGAAAGAAAGCTTCAAATGTAGAACCAAACAAGTACAACATTAACAGTGCCCAGAAGAGAATGAACTGAAAAGAGACTGACAAATTAAGAAATAAAAAACTCATCACACAACAAGGTTTACCTTATTAGCTCATTTGATTCAGAAGACAATTAAAATTAAAATTAAAAATTAAAAAAAAACTTTATGTTCTAGGCAACAAAATAGAGCATGAATTTGATGAATAAACAAAAATCAGAGGGGGGGGGAAAAAAAAAAAACCTGCAATGTCCTGTTTGTTCTTAACCCTGACATATCCTTTGATCCCTTACTTCTCTTTCCCAAGCCCTTCGCCTTCTTCCCATCCCTACAACACAATTATATCTCCACACCATCAACACACACATTTACACATATATACAGATTAAAAACTTAAGATAACCACAAAAATTGTTACAAAAAAGTAAAATAGCAGGAAAATTCAATTAGTTATCTATATAAAACAAAATCAATTTAACATGTTCCAAAAATTCCAAGATGTCGATAGAACAATCAATTTATATACATGCATGCGCACATACACAAGTAGAAAAGAAATCTTGCTTCATTTTGCTAAAAAAGAAAAGTTAGAAATTCTTCCATAGCAGCACACCCATTTCATATCCAGCAATATTTGATGCAATGAACAATACAAAAACACCAAATTCATGGAAAAATTAAACAGCAGCAACAACCAAAAAAGAAGCATATATTGACACAATCAATAAAAAACAATTTAAATTTAGGTTAATTTTTAGATAAATTTGCAGAATAAAAAACAAATCCAAACTTAGATACACATAATTAATGCAAAAATGTCTTCTTTGTACCTGATTGAAGAACAATAGAGACAACACACAAAATGGGTCGATTTGTACCTGAAACAAAACGAACGAAAATAAAAAGTGAACCCTTCATTCAATTTGAAGAATAACAAGTCCAATCACTTTAACGAAAACTGAAATCAATGAAACAGAGCAACAGATGAACAATACAAATACACCAAATTCATGGAAAAATTAAACAGCAGCAACAACCAAAGAAGAAGCATATATTGACACAATCAATAAAAAACAATTTAAATTTAGGCTAATTTTTAGATAAATTTGCAGAATAAAAAACAAATCCAAACTTAGATACACATAATTAATGCAAAAATGTCTTCTTTGTACCTGATTGAAGAACAATAGAGACAACACACAAAATGGGTCGATTTGTACCTGAAACAAAACGAACGAAAATAAAAAGTGAACCCTTCATTCAATTTGAAGAATAACAAGTCCAATCACTTTAACGAAAACTGAAATCAATGAAACAGAGCGACAGAAGAAAACAAAAACAAACCTGAAAAAACTGATGCAACAAAGTTGAAACTATATATATAGTTTTCGACATTTTTCATATGCAAGAAATCGGGTTGACGTACTTATTTCATGTTCCCACTAACTCAAGGACGTCACAAAAGATTATATAGTTTTGGACATTTTTCAAATGCATTTAGCACTTTGCTACAGATTAAAGTTGGACCTTACATAGGAAGAGGTTAAGAACTTGGATAAGACATGAATCAATTTTTTAAATTAACAAAGACATCTAATGAGATTGGAATTTCCATGAGCTAGATATTGTACCGAAACAATTAAGTTAAATACACTTCTGATGTAACTTAGCAGTTCAACACAAAGCTAGAAGTAGAATAAGGCCAAGTTTGGGATGTTCCAAAAAAGCCAAAAAGTCAAAAAGTTACTCAAAAAGTTAAAAAGTTAACACTATTCACCAAAAGTCAACAATTACGGCTGCACAACTCCCAATTCAAATTTTTCCCTACAAATCAATTTTTACAATTTTTTATTACACATTTTTCAATAAAAAGTCAAAAAGTTAACCCAAACATCCATATTTTCAACCTCAATTTTTTAGTCCAAAAAGACAAAAAGTGCACTTATTTAGTCTTCCCAAACTTGGCCTAAATTAGAGGTCATTGCAAGTCGGTGGTGCCTCAACTTGAAAGTGTTTGGTTTTGTAATTTTAGACCCCAGACACCTGACCATGAACAGTTGTATTTTATAAGCTATCAAGAATCTATTAGATCAGCAGCCAAGCAAAAACTTAAAACAGGAAACCGTATACAAAACAGGAGCAACCATACATGGCAGGATGTACAAATTTTGGGGTAAAAAAAATATAAAAGATATAATGATTTTCTTCAAAATATAAAAAATATAAAAGAAAATGAGCAGCAAAGTATCAATGATGTCCATGGCAATATAATGATTTCCTTAAAAATTAATAACTTGGGAAAAAAAAAACAGTGACATGAATATTTAGATAGCAAACATATAGACATGAACATATACTTTCTCACTTCGACAAAGGAAAGAGAAAAGCTAATTAAAATGGAAAAAACATATACTCAAGGAGAAAAGCAATGTTCCTACACCAAAAATAAATAAACAAATTAAAATCTATTATAGGTGAGGCAATGTTTAAATAAAAAAAAATTTTAAAAATCTATTATGGATTCAGGTGCACACCATTGATATACCACTCCCTTCCCTTTATAGTATCTCATTTGAATTCTTAAAAACTTTTATGTCTGTTTGATTTTCTGAAATTAATTGGGATGATCATTTGATTTGCTAAAAAATTGATGGAAAATATATTCCAAATAGAATAGTTATTAAGGAGGTTAAAGAGTAATATTCCATTTCATTCAATTCAAGTGAACCAAACTACATTACTATTTAAGACCTGAGCTGAGACAATGGAATAAATAGATATAAAAATAAGATAGAGATAAGTGAATATATTCATTATATTCTCTTTTTTCCCTTTATTTATTATTATTATTATTCTTTTCTTTTTGACAAAAAGGGAACTAGACATATAAGATAGCATTTGTAGCTATTGACTGAAACATTTTGCAAGTCATATTGGATTGAAGATATTCAGTTTTTAGGACCAAGTTTCAATTCTAAATTTTTCTTCACTTAACTTTTTCTGCCTTTTAGGTACTCAGAAGATGGACTGTTCTATTGTTGCATACATTGTATACAATAAGTTTTTCAACAACACTTGGTTGATGGGTTGTCTCTCGGAAATATCTTCAAACACCTTACTTGTCGAATTCTTGTGGTTTCCTGCTACAAACAAGAGAGGAAATCCTAACAAAATAGAAAGGATAGACAAATGTTTCAGTCAAATAAAAAGTGAAATGATTGTATCTACATACCATATGAAGAATTACTAACAAACAAATCATATACCACAACAATATTTATATCTATGTCAAACCTGGAGCCAATGAAGTATTAGTCTCTTTGACAAATCCTCAAATAGCTTCTATGCACAAGTTTTGTATGCCCAACAAGACCATTGTCTATCAAATACAAAATAATCATTGAACATAGATACATATATATCATAGAAAATTGAACACAAAACGTTATAGAGAACTGCTAATAAAAAAATTCATAGCTCTTATAGGTTTTTCAACTTGAATTTGACTGCTAAAATAAGTGAAGAATGACCAAACCTGAACCAAAGTAATCAAGGGTTTGTGTGTGTGTGTGTGAGAGAGAGAGAGAGAGGGGAGTGGGCGCTTGAATAGAGTGGATAGTGGTGGCCGGGGGGATCTCATCAGTAAAAGAACAAATATAGAGAAGAGCGTTAACGCAAACAAATACAAAGAACCATAGCACAACATCGATATAGAGCTATAAAGAGCTATGAATTCAGTAAAGTCGTTTGCGTTGCACAGCGTCGACGCTGCCAGCTGTCTTTCGTGAGACCACGTGGCTGATAGATTGAAGGCCCATATGGCTTCAGATTTGCATAACCAACAATGGTGATGGGGTGAACCAGTAATTTGAGAGAGTTTTGAGGGTACTCAAGTCATATACAGCGTTAGATTCACGCCCAAACACAGCACACGTATACATCTCAGTTGTTCTTCAAGCAGTGACTTAGTTCATCTGCTATTCTATTTGCAGCACAAGGTTATATTCGGGAATTCATATGCGTTAGATTCAATTGTGACCTGTATGCTTTCATTCTTTTATATAATAGGTATAGATTTTGGTGGAAACAATGGAATTTCAGTATTCCACTAATGTTTTGTTTCGGTTCCATTTTGATGGAAAAGAAACAAAATTTTGTTCATTGACTAGGATATGAATCTTAACACTATTCAAAGTTTTGTCATATGAATCATGACTATTTACAAAAACTTGTTTCTTGTTTTTTGTAAACAACCGAAAACAATAAACTGACAATGTTATCAAATGAGTCCTTAGCCATCATTTCATTTAATAAGACTAAAATGTGGTCTTGTGTTGGTGTAGTCTAGTCTCTATTGACAAACTTTCGATTCCCAAGCAATTTCCTGGATTCCACGTATCAGAGGATACTGATAATGGCATAACTTTTCTTTCCTCAATATTGTGTAGGTGCAAGAGATACTAGAGGGAGCAAAAGTGCTTGAATGGCTGAGAGAGCACACGGAGATTGAGTATACAACCCGATGAGAAAGGGAGAGATCAGAAATTGCATCCCTCAGAAGGTGAGGATAGGAAATTTTTGGGATCATGTCATTGTAATGGATCACATTCTGAGTTTTTCTGTGAAAACGAAGAAATTGGGCAGTTTTATGTTTTGAATGTGGGGGAAGATTGAACTTTGGAAAGAGACAAGTCTGGCAAAAAAACCTCAATACCAAAACTGAGTATTGGAAAGAGCTATTGTCTTAAAGAAATATAGTAAGATCTTTGTTGCAAGACGAGTTTTAATCCGTATTATCTTGACTAGCTTCTGTTTCTTCTATTTTTTTTTTTAAGAATACCGAGTTGGGTTCTTCTATCCTAAGCTAAATCTTTTTCATGCAAAACTTGCTTGATTTAGATTGGAAAAATTGCAAATCCATAGTCAATTCTATTTATGATAGGATAGTTGGCAATTGAAACCATTTTTATAATTATTTTCATGTCCGTAATAGTGAAAAAAATAAAGAAGACGGCTAACAAACACTTGTAATGAGTTGTTTGTAAGTGTTTGTAACTTTTTTTTTACTCATTTCTAAGCGACGATGAAATGAAAAATGTATGATTAAAATTGTAATAATCAAAATGTAATAATTATGGCAGAATATAATTTATGGTTGCTTCTAGTAGCACTCCAAAATCTCATACTCATAAATTTTTATTTTTATAATTCTATCCTATCCTGCAATTCTAATTTTACTCTAATCTCTAACAACCTAAATTTTAACTCTAATTCTATCCTACCCACCCACTTGTTACCCACCACTATTGATTATCTTAAGCTGATCGTAGGGCTGGGGGTGGGGGTGAGGTGATGGGTGGAATAAACTTAGGGTTAGTATTTGGAAGAATTAAGGTTAGATTTTTTAATCTTAAGGCTCCATTTGGGATAAAGGTTCAAGCTAAAATAGTTATATAGGACAAAATAGGTTATTTTGGTTAAATAAAATAAAATATCACATCTAATTCATAATCGTTTTATTTATTTTTTTTTACAAAAGTCAAAAAAATTAAAAAGCTTATCTCAAACGAAATTTTTTAACTCCAAGTTAAAATAGTTAAAAAATTAAAAAGCCAGTCTATATCCCAAACGAACTCTAAATGGACTAAGGCCTCGTTTGGGAACATGTTTTTTTAGTAATTTTTTGAATTTTTAGCTAAAATATAATGTAAAAAAAATTATGATTTTTTGATATTTTATGAAAAAATGTATAAAAAGTAGAAAGAAAATTTTTTTTTTGACTTTTTGATATAAGTTATTTACTTTTTTGACTTTTTTAATAATTTTTAAATTTTTTGATTTTTTAACTAAATTGATTGCTTCCCAAACGAGGCCTATTTTGAAATAAGTTGGTACGGGTCCAAAGAAGTTAAAAGACAACTATTAGCTTCTTTTTATGGCAATGATAAGCAACCTTTTTCTCCAGCAAAGCATGTAGATGAAAATCACAACCTGTGGCAAAAGAGTTTAAATTTTTTATTTTTAAAATTTTAAAATTTCAATGTGGGGGCCGAGTGGTAGATGCATGACTTGGTGGGAAAAATTCAAATTAAATTAAGGGTAAATTAGAATAACACCTCTTGAAATTTAGTTAAGGGGTTGTTTGAGATATCTTAAATAAGTGTATTTTTTATATTTTTGAACTAAAAAGTTGAAGGAAAAAATATGAATATTTTGGTTAACTTTTTGATTTTTTATAGAAAAATGTGTAATAAAAAATTATAAAAATTGATTTGTAGAGGAAAATTAGAATTGGTAGTTGTGTAGCAGTAATTGTTGATTTTTGATGAATAGTATTAACTTTTTAATTTTTTGAATAACTTTTTGACTTTTTAACTTTTCTCAAACTTCCCAAACTTGGCCTAAATTACATTTTATTCTTTGACATTTTGAAAATTAAATTCTCACTCATGTAATTAATAGTCTTATTTTATAAACCTCCTACTTATATAAAAGGTAACAACTCTTATTAAAAAAATAAAAGAAATTACATTAAAAAAAAAGAATATAGCAAATGAAAGGAAAAAAAATAGAAAAAGTAAAGTAAAAAAAAAAAAAAAGAGTGCAAGAGTTTAATATTTTTATTCTGTCTAAATAATTACAATTACAGAAGATAATGTAATTTTTTAAATATTAAGAATGATATATACTAAATTCAATGTAAATGTAATTTATCCTTAAATTAAAGATTTTATTGTAAGGTAAGTCCCATAAAACTTGTGACTATGATTTTTTTTGTTGTTTTGTTTTTTTTGGTGACTATGATGTGTTCATGCACATATATTAGATATTAGTAGATCATACAATTGAATCATGATGACACCTAGCAATGATAGTGATCCTTTAAGCCCCAAAAATTTCAAAACTTTATTTAATGTTGCAGCTTATCTAATGTCTATCTATAATAATTAATGTTGTTGGTTTGCCCCCCTTTTTGTGTTATATATTTTGTGCCCTTTCTGTTAATCTCAACTACAAAATTGCCCTCCCCCTCCCTCCTCTGACAAACAAAAATTACTTTTAACATATTTATTTTGAGTTGATTAAAAATAAAAGTAAATTAATTGTCAATTGATCTGTCAGTTTTTCTGTTTTAAAATTTCTCTCTTTATCTTTATATATGTGTTTTTTAATATACAATGAGGTAGAAATTATAAAATGCAATGTAAAAATAAAATAAAATTGAGACATAATTTTTAAAAGTAAATTAGAACAAAAGAATTGGAATTTTAAAATACAAAAATGTTCACTTAACAAATATAAATTTATTTGATTATAAATAAAATACTAACCTAATTGTGAATATGATCTGCATTTATTTTCTATAAACATTATTAAATTAATAAACATTTTTTTAAAATTTTTATTTATTTTTAACTCTCATCTCGAGCTTGGTATCCGAGTTCAAATATCTAGATTCTTTTTCCTCATCCCCTTCTTTCCTTCCTTTCCTTGACGATAACAAAAGATGGATAAATGAAACACTTTATTCAACCTTTATTTTGATTTCTATTATGTTTTAAGTTGATCAATATTAACTTTTGACTTGATATCCAATTTCAATTTAATTATTTCAATCAAATTGAACGATGAAATTTAGTCTTTTTAATACGTGTTGGTCACATGAAGAATACATATAAAAATAATTTGACAATAATTTAGACAAGTCATCAAATTGAAACACAATTTAAAGCCTAAAATTAACATTGTTTAAAGAAAAATATTAAAGACAACCCAATTGGTGTTAGTTAAGATTTAAAAATGTGTAAAAAATAAATAAATTAAAATATGTACAGAAATATGTAAAATGTACATTGAAATATTGTTTTTGTTTTTTTTTTTTTGGTATTATTTGAAGAGTAACAAGATCCTTAATACAAACAATAAAGATGAATTGGAAATTCAAATCAAATAAAAAAAATTACTCAAAAAATGAATCAAAAAGTGTAAATCAATATGGAACAAAGTAAATTATAAAAAAAGTTCAAAAAAAATTATAAAAAATATTTTAAAATATTGCACCAAAACAAAAGTAAATTAAAAACTGCAATTGACTTAGGGTGTGTCATGTTCTTCTAGTCTTGGGGTCGAATTATGGCTGCAAATGAGCTGAGCCGAACCGACTCAAGTTTTGCTGAGTTCGAATTTGACTCAATTCGTTAATATTAATAAAACTCAAACTCGGCTCGGCTTGGCTCAATAATTTTTTTAATGTTATATATATTATTTAATATATAAATAATATATTTATACAATTATTTATATATATTTATTATGTAATTTAAATAAAGATAAACTAGTTGATCTTGATGAGTCGAGTTTATTCGAACTCGAATGTTGGTTTACTAAACGAACCTAATATTCGAGTTCGACGTCGGCGAGACCTTAACGAGGCGAGCTGAGCCTGTTTGCGAGCAGATCAGTTCATTTGCAGCCCTAAGTCGAATAGTAGGGATACAAAAGCTATTCGATGGTTTTGAAATAATATTCTACGCAATTCAACACGTGACACTTGTATTTTCTCTTTTTAAATTGGGCAAATTATAATCATTTTTATTTGAGATTTAAAAAAATTATAGTTAATCTTGCATTTTTAATATAAATCATATTGACCTCTTTTTAGTAAAGTCTAAATTGTCTGATACTAATGCAAATACAATGATGTTGCGTAGCTCGATTTGTGCGTGCCTCGAGTGGCCCAACTTTTCACTTTTCAACCTCTCTCTTCCTTTTGTCTCCTTCCTTTGTTTCTTCTCTTATTCTTTTTTTTTTTCTGTTCATCTCTTTCTCTCCTTCATCTATGTTCATTAAGAATTCACAATGACCAAACTAAAATCAAAATCATTTTTTTTTTCTTCCAGCCGGCCAACAATCTACAAAGAAAAAGAAGAAATGAGAAGATGAAAGAAAAGAGAGAGAGCAGAGAGGAGAGCTAACAAATCAAAACCAAGTCAAACCCAAATCAAAAATTTGGGAAAGCTAACAAATCAAACCCAAAACCAATTCAAACCCAAATCTGGGAAAGCTGACAAACCAAACCCAAAAATCTGGGAAAAGAAATCAAACCCAAATCAGTCAAACCCAAAAATCAAAAATCAAAACCAATAAGCCACAAACCAAATCATACAAAATCAAACAAAATCAATTAAACCCAAAACAGAGAGGGAAGAGAAGGAGTTCGCCTTGCCTCATCGTAGACTTCGATGGTGATCCGGATTGTGGGTGTCGGAGTGTCACGACCCAAACCCGCCTCTATAGGTTTAGCATCGTAACCGGCCAGTAATCTTTGGATTACCAAAGGCCTCTGACAGATTAACAAGATTAAGGGGCTAGCGGAAGCAAATACATTAATATAGTTGTCCAATGAGCTGTGCTGATTTACATGAACAGAATAATTAAAGCTTTAAATATATATTCAAATATCATTCATACATTATACCCACACACATTACAGTATTATAAGTACAACCAACGACATCAAATCAAGTCTTATATTTACAGAAAAGACAGAACTTAAACACTGGACGCTTCGGGAACCTCTACGTGAGGCACAATGGTTGGCTGACAACAGAACACAGATCTAGACAAAAGCCTTCAGGCTTGGGCTTCAGAATGCTCACCTATACATATATATACACACAATGAGCTAAAGGCCAATGAATAACATTAAGGTAAAGGGGTTTAGTGAACGAAATCCGAACATATCATAAGCAGAAAATAGACCAGAGCATAATCATTCTCATATCAGAACGTAATA